CTTTGTTTCTTCTTTTATTATTTCGTCTCTATTATAGACACTGCTACTAACATGTATTCTTTCATCAACAATATCTGTTAGAAATTCACTAGGAATATTCTCGTTGTAATTATAATTATGTTTGTATCTTTCTAAAAGACTTATTTTAAGATTATATCCATATTGTTTTAAAATATTATCTTTATCTATATCACTAACATAAATAGCATTACTTGATGATAATCCTACTTCAAATTCTTCATCTGTACCATATAGGTCACCACCATATCCTACAATAATAGCACTTCCCCATTCTTTTAATCCTTTTGCTAATGTCGAACAACCAGAATAACAAAGAGGATCTGTATAAACTACTATTTCTGTTGGTTTTCTTGGTTTTCTCATTAATTTCATTTGTTCCCATTTCATAACTGAAGGTTGTGAAACTTTATGTTCAATATCACCATAATTAATAATATTTGGATTTGTATACCACTCTCCAAGTACTTCTGGACTTACATAACTTTCTCTTACTTTACATGTGTGTGGGTCATATAAAATATTTCCATATTCTCTTTTCATTATACTTTCTGTAAAATTTGATATTCTCCCAGAAACAATCATATCAACATCATCATATGGTGATAATATCTTTTCTATCCATTGTGAATAAATTGAATTTTCTTCATCATTCGCTGAGAATACGACATGAATTGGATAATCATTAGAATCAAATAAATCAATACATTTTGAAACTGTTTCTTCATATGATTTTATATAGCTTTTTTCAGGACTAAATGAAAGAATCTCAAGTACATTAATATTATCTGAAGACTGACAATGTACACTATCATCATTTGAAGCATAATATTGGTTTCTTCCTTGTTCTCTTTTCATTCTTTTAATCATTTCATTTCTTGATTTTATTTCTTCTAATGTTAAACTTGGCTTACTTCTTTGTTTCAGTTGATCCACTTGACGTGATCTTTTCATTAATATACTCGATAGTGGTAACTTTAATATAGAATAGTTAACACTTACACTTTCTCCATTTTCCCATGTAATAGTTATTGGTGTATTTAAATATTCTTTTGTTAATGGTATTTCTTCTAGTATAGCAAAATCAAATGTTGAATACGCTTTTTCAAATTGTGCATGTGGAGATCTTAAACCTATGTATTTCTTTCCAAATTTACGAATAATATTAAATGGATCTTCTCCATTAATGGTTTTAACTGCTACATTTTCATTATTAACTAGTTCTTGTGGAACATCAATAGGAATACCACCTACAGTGCTTTTTGTTCTTAAATACATTTT